CCTGGTAATGAACTCAGGTGTGTTGAAACAGGGTGATATCTAAAACCTGCAGGACACGAGGCCTGGAGTTGGCCGAGCCTGGTTTAAGGTGATGTCAGCCCACCTTTGCAGCTATAACAGCTTAACTCCTCCGGGAAGTTTTCCACAAGGTTTAGGAGTTTGTTTACCATACCATCATTTATTCATATAGCACTTTTAAAACAACACATGGCCGACCAAAGTGCTGTACAGCAGAAATATCAAAAGTACAATAAGAATAACAAATACCATAAATAAATAACAGTGTCAGTTACCCACTGAGTACAAGGCCAGCAAATAAAAATGAGTTTTTTAAAGACCACCACTGAAGTAGGTTGCCTACTGTGAAGAGGAAGATCATTCCAAAGCTTCGGGGCCACAAAAGAGACTGTTCGGTCTCCTCTAAGTTTCAGATTTAGGGTCTGAGAGCAGCAGCTGCTCAGATGACCCGAGTGAACGAGGGGGCACATAGGGTTTCAGCAGATCAGACAAATATTCAGGCACCAGACCATTTAAGGATTTAAAAACCATTAAAAGGATTTTTAAAATAGAGCCTAAATTCAATTGGAAGCCAGTGTGGGAGGCCAGAATCTCCTTACACTGATTGTGGGAATCACAATAATAAACAACGCAGCACTGCAGCATTTTAATCATGGTTAATCAAAAATACCTCACAGCTCTGCATGCACTAAAAGAATCAGTTTATCTCTGATACTAGAATGCGATCCATTGTATGTGGTACTGGTACTATTATACAGTCAGACAACTGCAGTCTCTTCTTCAGAGCTCTGTCAGCTTTGCCTGACTTATCTGTGTGAACAAGCTGGATATTTGAGGCTTATGTGCAGAAGGACATGTTAGCTCGGGTATCATTGTCGCTGTCATTACCATCAATGCCAAACTGGATAGCAATTTTCTATAAATTTCCCCCATGTTGCTTTCTCCAGAGTGATTGATTTCCTCGCTCCACACCCCCTGCTGAAAATTGCTATAAAAATATGTCTTTCCTTTTTTTCCTGCAGCGCTGAAGACGTCCTGCATCATCCTCTGCTTTGTTTGAGACGGTGCTATCGATGCTACGGGCTCTGCAGACTCCCGGACCAAGAAGAGTCTTTAGAATCATTTGTGTGCTTGTTTTTTTTTCTGTTCCAGATTTCAAAGACTTTGTTAATCAGATTTAGAGAGAGCAACACTTCTCATAGTCACATAGCTGCATTTCAAGATTTTCAAAGTGCTTCCACCGGGTGAAACTGATTTTTGGGGTAATCTGAATAGCATGAACCTGTTTGTTAATCATTCATTTCGTACATGTACTGACCAAGTGTGCCATCAGTCAAAACAGGACAACAAACACTGTAAGGAGATTCCAAAAGCATCTTGAGAATATAAAAATATCTCTTAGGTCCCATTCCGGTGCCCTTCGTTTTGAAATCTCAAAATCTTCTGCAGCGCATCCAAGTCTTTAATCACAGCTCTGATTATCAGAAAAGCCTGAGATGAAGCATTTCCTCCTTTTTTTGATCTCCAGACAATTTTCTTGTTGAGGCTGATTTTCCATCAGTAGCTTGATTATCAAACAGCTTTTTGCTGCTATAGTGATGAAGTATAAGACAAATTCAGGATCAAAAATAGATCTGAAAACATAGAACTTTCTTGTAACACACTTGCAGTGCCTTCAAGATCCACCAGGGGGCTTCAGCTCACACACTGGGAGTTGCTGATCTATGTAAATAGGACTACATTTACCTATGTACTGTAAATTGGACTAATGGCTTAAGAGTAATGATTTGTCTTTTTCACCAACATCTGAGGACTGATTGTTATGCAGTGCAACACTGGGGCCATTTCAGTGGTGGGCATAATATACAGGCAGCATCTGCCAATCACTGATGAATGTCCTGTAGCCCCTCCCATAGAGGACAGGTGTGCATGTGAAGTAGGTTTCAGATCAGGCAGCAGCACTGCATCAGTAGAAGTAGGGCACTGCTGATTAAAGTGAACTGTGCTGTATATTAAAGATGTTTCGAACGTGGGACAGCTGAGTTGCATTTGGAACAAAGTGATAGTTTTGTGTTCACATTAATAAACACATTTAAAAACTGTTTATATTTCATTTCAGTCTTTATTAATTGTTGAGTGCACCACAGGACGTTTGTCCTTACATTGCATTGAAGCTGGTAGCGCGTCCAGAGGGGAGGCATGGTGTGGCACTGCACCCAACACGCCCACCCAATAATTTATATCAAATGATACAAATCCAGTTCCAAAAAAGTTCAAATGTAAATTGAATGCAGTGATTTACTACGGAGTCCCACAGGGGACATGGGAGAAAAATAAATTAAGACGGACTTTTGCAAGATCTCGCAAAACAAACTCGGGATCTCGCAAAACTTTTAGCCGCATTCTTTGGAGGCCGCCAGCTCGAAGCCGACCGGGAGGTCGAGGCACGATGTGCCGGGAAAGCGGTGTTCCTCCCGGCTGTAGTAGGTCTCGACCTCCCGTTAGCTTCAAGCTAGTGGGTGTCAGATCTCCGAAAACGTCGGAGCACTTTTGCAAATATGTGATGTCTTGTAAACCGAGCAGGTATCTGACGTTTACACAACTACATTCACGCCTCAAAATATCTTAAAAGTGTATTTTGTGACCCAGAAAGAGTAATATTACAACTAAGTAGCTGCCGCCATTGTTGGAATTCAACTTTTGCGAGATCCCGAGTTAGTTTTGCGAGATCTCGCAAAAGTCCGCCTTAATTTTTTCTTCATAAACTCATACTTTAATCACAATGCAATATATAAAAACATATCATATGTTTAAACTGAGACACTTGGCTCATTTTCTATTTATGCCAGCAATATGTCTCAGAAAAGCTGGAACGGGGGAACAAAACACTGAAAAAGTAAGCAGTACTAAACAAGAAATAGGATTGCAGCTAATTAGATTAACTAATTAGCAACAAGTCAGTAGCATGACTCGGTATAAAAAGAGCAACTTAGAGAGTTTCTCAGAAGTAAAGATGGGCAAGGGCTTGAGAATCTGTAAAATATGGCATCAAATTTTGGAAGAATTTCACAATAATTTTCCCCAGAGTCAAACTGCAAAGACTTTGAACACCTCATCACCTACATTGGATGGCAAAGTTCCTAAATATACTGCTTTTCTCCTCTACTCAAGCTTAAACCATCCACTCATGCAAGCACTTTGTTCTACATCTAAGAGCTATCAAACATTCACATGCAGATAAATGCATCAGTGGCAACGCTTCGCCATGCAGACTGGAGCAGCGGGGATTGAGCTACCAACCTTCCAGTTAGTAGATGACCCGTTCTACCTTCCGATGCACAGCCATCCCATCGGTACATAATTTAATCAAACCGAGAATCTGGAGAAATCTGTGCGCAACGGACAAGCTGAAAATGAATAATACATGCCGATGATTTTCATGCCCTCAGACTGCACTGCATTGAAGAGTAGCACGGCTCTGTCTTGGAAATCCCTGCATAGGCTCAGAATCCAGAAATCACCGTCTGGGAACACAGTTCAACAATAAATGCAGGTTAAAGCTCCATCAAATCAAATCAAAGTTACCTTGCATATACTGATAGACAGCCTATCAGCTCAGTCTAGCCAAGCTGCGTTCAGGACTGTGCAGCCTGTTCAGGTTGAATAAGTTGTTACCAGGTTTCCACTGGGATGATTTATTTGTTGCTTTTGGGTTTCTTTTTTCCTTCTGTTACTTTTTTTATGATTTCTAAAAATAGCCCTGAGTTCTGTGCACTGCTGGGCTCGTGTTATTATCAGAATCTGCTTACACATGCTCTTTCTGTCTCTCTGGAAGCTGTGGATTTGACACATTGAAAAAAA